CCATCCCCATGCTCTGCCTTTGGGTGCTCTGCAACGGTTCCCAAGCGCAGCCCCCAGCCACGAAGGTGGGACCGTGCCTGAGCCCTCCAGAGGGGAGCCGACCCTTTCCCGTTCTCCTGCCCTGGGAAGGCACCACAGCCCCCAGAGCCAGCCCCAAACTCACCAGAGCTTCCTGGGCATTTTGGAGGCCGAGCAGCGAGCGTGGCCGTTCAGCAGCTGGTGCCCGGGGATGCTCCGTTCTCTGCAGCTCCTTCCCTGCCCCTCGGCAGCCCCGGTACCTCCCCGCGGTGCCTGTCACCGGAGGGGGACAGCTGAGCCCCCGCTGTGCCAGGGCTGCCCATCCATCACCCCCTCCTCAAGACTCCCACTCCGCAGCGTCTACTCACTCTCTCTCCAGTCCCTCAGACATATTCATGGTTACCATAGGAACTAATGAAACCCAAATTAAAAAAGGAAAAGGAGAGAAAAAAGACAAAGGGAAAAGCGCTTTGATGCTCTGGTGCCACCTGCGTGTGAGTTTATGAGGAGCCACAGGCAGGGGACATCCCGCAGCCCCCCGTCCAGCTCAGGCCCCCCGCTGCCACGCTCCGGCGCTTTGATGCTCTGGTGCCACCTGCGTGTGAGTTTATGAGGAGCCACAGGCAGGGGACATCCCGCAGCCCCCGCAGCTCCCCCCCGCCACGCTCCATCCCACCAAATACAGTCTGCAAGGGACACAGCCTCTGTCCCCGACTGCCCGCTGCGACACAAGCCCACCCGTCCCCGCCGGGGCTGGAGGGGCTCAGTGCTCCCCAGCCCAGCTCCCGGCAGCCCCGGGACCCTCTCTGCAGCCAAGGTGGGGGCCGCAGCCACCCCCAGGCCCTCCTCCTCCCCTGCCAGGCTCCTGCAAGTCAATATTGGTGTTTGCAGCAAGCACGAGGCTTCCCAAAGTGCTCCTTGGCTGCAGAAAGCAGCTTGTCTTTTTGTTAACAAGTTAAAGAAAATTGCCTACGCCTGGTGTCTTAGCCAGAAGGCTGCAGCAGTGATAAGAAGGCCTTAGAAAACCAAAATTTTTATTTATTTATTTTAATTTTAAAAGCTTTTAGAAATATCTAGTGTGGCTCTGGCTGGGCCCCAGTTACAGACCCATTTAGTGAAGCAATCTGTGCACAAACCAGAGGCGTCATGAGGTTGTGGAAAGCATCAGCTGCAAACAGAGGGGAGCAAACCCCCTCCTCTGGCCCGAGCAGGAGGGAGGGAGAAAGAAATGTGGCCCCAGACCCTCACCCCACAGCACCCCACTGCGCTCCCAGCGTGGCAGCCACTGCCCACTGGGGAAGGAAGGTTAAATGGTATTTCTGCAGCAGAATTGCTGCACGGACCCTGGAAAAAAAAATGAGGGCACGGCATATCAGAGAGTACAAGGAGCAGCTAAATCCTTCTCAGCCCCACGGGAAAAGGAAAGTCCACTGAGATTTCCCTCTTCTCCCAGAAGTGGTAAACATTGATTTAAGCTTCTCATTAGTTCAGCAAAAACCTGAGCCACGAGCGTGGAGCAGCGTTTGTGTTGTGCTATTTACAATGGGCATTTGCAGGCTCCTTCAGGCAGCAGGTTCCCCCAAGGCTTTCTGTATACTTTTCCATTAATGAATAATTTGCACAAGTAATGATTATAGAAGGAAACCGCATGAGCTGTTACCCGTGCACATTACCCTCAGCTCACGGGAGGCTCAGCCAGAATATTTCTGTATTAGCACACGGTTACGCCGATCGCACCGGAGCCACGCGATGGAAAACCCCCGGCTCGAGGAGCGGATCCAGAAACCAGGAGAGCAGAGGAGGTGCCACGGCAGGAGGGAAGGGATCCCAGACAGCCCTGAGCACCAGGATAACAGCGAGCATCCACACCACCATTCCCAGCCCTTTTCCAGCAGTGGTGACCCTGGACACCTCGCTCCATCCCAGAGCAGGATCTGGCCCAGCTACCGCTTCTCCAGGAGCCACACGGCCACCTTTCAGCAAGTCCATGGCAAACCTGAGACGGGCCCACCAAGCAACACCACCGGCTCACGGACCCTCCTGGGCCCCAAGAGCATCTTCGCCCCTTTCAGAGCAACACCCAGAGCCCCCCAAGCAGCACAGGAGCTGGGTACCAACAACAGGCACCCACTATCCCATCGACACCCATCCCCTTTCCAGACTGCAAGAGCCAAAAACCCCCACCAGGCTCCACTGAATTTACAGCCAGAAGCTCAGTGGGGGCCCCTCCTGCCAATTTCCATCCCTTCTGAGGCAGAGCTGGTGCCCCGTGAATTGTCCTGTCCGTGCCTTAACCCTCTGATCAGACAGTGACCGTGTCAACGCGTTTATTGCAATCACCCAGGAATCCATTGGAATCAATTTGGATCCCAGGAAAACAAGCTGTGGGACGTGCACAAAACTGTCTCCAGGAATGGGTGGATGTCACTGCTCTGTCACCGCACAGAGCTGGAACCGGGACGACAGCCCGGAGAACAGGAAAGCATCCCCCCCACACACAAAGCCATCCCTCAGTGTCACATCCCTCACGGGGAAACCGCTTTACAGGAGAGAAGAGCACGGGTACTCACTTGATCTTCAGGCTGGCCAGCATCGTCTTGTCGATCCTGGGGAGAAAGCAGAGGAGCGTGTTACTGTGGGCACAGACGGGAGGGTGTCCCTCCTCCCGACGCGGGTACTGGGGGCTGCTGGCAAACCCAGCCCCACATCTCCTTTGGAGGTGCTATTGGCCTCGCTGACAGGACCATCATCAGAAAGACTTGACCAGAAAATGAAATCAGCCAAAATCTAACCCAAAGTGAAGCTTGGTGGCAAGTGAAACAAAATCCCACCAGTTACTTCCCAGCGGTGACCAGTGCAGAACTGCTGCCTCCTCCCCTGAGACACCAGAGGGGAACGGGGCAGCAGAGGAGGGCATCACCCACGGCCATGCTCTTTCCACCTCCCACAAAACATGTATTTAAAGACAACAGACCTGGCGTGCTGGGAGGATGACACCAAACCCCCAAACTCAATTCAGAAGCCCAGTCCCTCAGGGAAGGAGTCAGGATCCAGTGAGGTGCAGGATTTTCCCACCTGGCCGGGGCTGCCTCGCTGCGGGAGCTCATGCTCATCCCCGTGGGGCTGCCCACCTTCGCCCGGCCACCAGCCACCAACTGACCCTTTTCTTACCCCCCACTCGCCCACGACCACCCGCACCCCCGGCGAGAGCCCCGGACAGAGGGAACGCGGAGCAGCCCCATCGCTCCCAGCCCTCCTGCCTCGTGTGGGGCTGGGAGCCCCCATCGCTTCACTTATTTATTTGGCATCGTTAATTAGCACCTACCTCCACAGAATCATTGTGGTGAAAGCCATATTAATATTAATTAATGCAAATCATAGTAGTGTCTCAAAATGCAAAACAATGTCTTTTGGCAGTCATTGCAAATGCTCTGTTATCTGCCACATGGAATTAATTCCACATCTCTAAAAAAATCCCCCAATAAACAACCAACAAACATCAAAACCAAACCCCACGTGTTTTGCACCGCGACTGCAATCACAGAGGACACTCGAGGCTGCAGAAACGCAGCTTCCCCTCTACTCACCCCTTTACCTCCCTCTGCTCCCGGATCCACTTCTCCGTTGGGAGGAGACCGGGGCAGACACAGCAGGGGCCCCACGTGGGGTGACCCTGCTCCCCACAGACCAGGCCAAAGCCACCCCAGCTCAACCCTGGCATCTCCTGCACACACCATCACCCTTCCCGGATCACTCTCCTGGACCAATATTGCACTTGCTAAACCCCCAGGCCACGGGAGCTTCATGCCAGGCATCTCCCCAGACTCCAGCTCAGGGAGAGCCGGCACACCACAGCTCCTAAAAATAGACCCAGGGCACCCAATAGTGCCATTTAATACTTAACAAGCCTGTCCACGGACTTTGTTGATCATTAAGCGAGTTGAACGTTCAAGCGTGCTGGTGAAAATAGGTGTTGCCACACTTGGTGACAGACAGGAGTGAGCCATGGGGACAGTGTGTGGCCGGGGCAGCTCCTGGGGGACCCACGCCGGAGCGGGGAGCTGCACCAGAACCACAGGAAGAAAAATCAGTTGCTGCTATTTTGCCTCTTAGAGAGAGGGGAAAAAAAAAATAAAAAATAAAGAAGTTCAACAACAACAAAGAACCCAACCACACAAGAAAGCAACCCCTCTGCTGGGGAAACCGCAGCTGCACGATGACTAAGTTCAGAAGCCGCTTCGTCAGGCGTTGCCCTGTGGGGGGGTGAAGTGAAACACCCCACGCCCCACTGCAGCTCCCTCCCTGTGTGCCCCCATACAGCGCTCCCCGAGCCCCCCAGCACGGATCTGGCCCAGCTACCGCTTCTCCAGGAGCCACACGGCCACCTTTCAGCAAGTCCATGGCAAACCTGAGACGGGCCCACCAAGCAACACCACCGGCTCACGGACCCTCCTGGGCCCCAAGAGCATCTTCGCCCCTTTCAGAGCAACACCCAGAGCCCCCCAAGCAGCACAGGAGCTGGGTACCAACAACAGGCACCCACTATCCCATCGACACCCATCCCCTTTCCAGACTGCAAGAGCCAAAAACCCCCACCAGGCTCCACTGAATTTACAGCCAGAAGCTCAGTGGGGGCCCCTCCTGCCAATTTCCATCCCTTCTGAGGCAGAGCTGGTGCCCCGTGAATTGTCCTGTCCGTGCCTTAACCCTCTGATCAGACAGTGACCGTGTCAACGCGTTTATTGCAATCACCCAGGAATCCATTGGAATCAATTTGGATCCCAGGAAAACAAGCTGTGGGACGTGCACAAAACTGTCTCCAGGAATGGGTGGATGTCACTGCTCTGTCACCGCACAGAGCTGGAACCGGGACGACAGCCCGGAGAACAGGAAAGCATCCCCCCCACACACAAAGCCATCCCTCAGTGTCACATCCCTCACGGGGAAACCGCTTTACAGGAGAGAAGAGCACGGGTACTCACTTGATCTTCAGGCTGGCCAGCATCGTCTTGTCGATCCTGGGGAGAAAGCAGAGGAGCGTGTTACTGTGGGCACAGACGGGAGGGTGTCCCTCCTCCCGACGCGGGTACTGGGGGCTGCTGGCAAACCCAGCCCCACATCTCCTTTGGAGGTGCTATTGGCCTCGCTGACAGGACCATCATCAGAAAGACTTGACCAGAAAATGAAATCAGCCAAAATCTAACCCAAAGTGAAGCTTGGTGGCAAGTGAAACAAAATCCCACCAGTTACTTCCCAGCGGTGACCAGTGCAGAACTGCTGCCTCCTCCCCTGAGACACCAGAGGGGAACGGGGCAGCAGAGGAGGGCATCACCCACGGCCATGCTCTTTCCACCTCCCACAAAACATGTATTTAAAGACAACAGACCTGGCGTGCTGGGAGGATGACACCAAACCCCCAAACTCAATTCAGAAGCCCAGTCCCTCAGGGAAGGAGTCAGGATCCAGTGAGGTGCAGGATTTTCCCACCTGGCCGGGGCTGCCTCGCTGCGGGAGCTCATGCTCATCCCCGTGGGGCTGCCCACCTTCGCCCGGCCACCAGCCACCAACTGACCCTTTTCTTACCCCCCACTCGCCCACGACCACCCGCACCCCCGGCGAGAGCCCCGGACAGAGGGAACGCGGAGCAGCCCCATCGCTCCCAGCCCTCCTGCCTCGTGTGGGGCTGGGAGCCCCCATCGCTTCACTTATTTATTTGGCATCGTTAATTAGCACCTACCTCCACAGAATCATTGTGGTGAAAGCCATATTAATATTAATTAATGCAAATCATAGTAGTGTCTCAAAATGCAAAACAATGTCTTTTGGCAGTCATTGCAAATGCTCTGTTATCTGCCACATGGAATTAATTCCACATCTCTAAAAAAATCCCCCAATAAACAACCAACAAACGTCAAAACCAAACACCACATGTTTTGCACCACGACTGCAATCACAGAGGACACTTGAGGCTGCAGAAATGCAGCTTCCCCTCTACTCACCCCTTTACCTCCCTCTGCTCCCGGATCCACTTCTCCGTTGGGAGGAGACCGGGGCAGACACAGCAGGGGCCCCACGTGGGGTGACCCTGCTCCCCACAGACCAGGCCAAAGCCACCCCAGCTCAACCCCAGCACCTCCTGCACACACCATCACCTTTCCCAGATCACTCTCCTGGACCAATATTGCACTTGCTAAACCCCCAGGCCACGGGAGCTTCATGCCAGGCATCTCCCCAGACTCCAGCTCAGGGAGAGCCGGCACACCACAGCTCCTAAAAATAGACCCAGGGCACCCAATAGTGCCATTTAATACTTAACAAGCCTGTCCACAGGTTTTGTTGATCATTAAGCGAGTTGAACGTTCGAGCGTGGTGTAAATAGGTGTTGCCACACTTGGTGACAGACAGGAGTGAGCCACGGGGACAGTGGGCGGCCGGGGCAGCTCCTAGCCACACTTGGTGACAGACAGGAGTGAGCCATGGGGACAGTGTGTGGCCGGGGCAGCTCCTGGGGGACCCACGCCGGAGCGGGGAGCTGCACCAGAACCGCAGGAAGAAAAATCAGTTGCTGCTATTTTGCCTCTTAGAGAGAGGGGAAAAAAAAAATAAAAAATAAAGAAGTTCAACAACAACAAAGAACCCAACCACACAAGAAAGCAACCCCTCTGCTGGGGAAACCGCAGCTGCACGATGACTAAGTTCAGAAGCCGCTTCGTCAGGCGTTGCCCTGTGGGGGGGTGAAGTGAAACACCCCACGCCCCACTGCAGCTCCCTCCCTGTGCGCCCCCATACAGCGCTCCCCGAGCCCCCCAGCACCGCACGGGGGGGGGCTGCCCCCAGGGGAAGGGGCAGCCGGAGGGAGAAGAGGGGACAGACGGGCCCCCGCACCGGTCACTGGGCTCACGGGGAGCTGGGCAGGGGGTGCAGGCAGGGCTGGGGCGGCAGCTCCCGGGGCCACACACCCTCCATGTGCATTGCCCTCCATGAGCATCCCCACGTCCACGGGCGATGGCACCTCCTGGGCCACCCGGGGCCAGCGGGCTCCTGTCAGGTCCTGGCTGGCAGCAAACGCAACCGTTAGCACAAAAACCCGACCTGGCTCCAACGGAGGCTGGAAATAGCATCGGCGGGTACCGGCGGGGGCGGCTGGGTGTGCCCGGCCACCCCACACGGCCCCACAGGAAGGGTGGGTCGGCCGTGGGCCCGGCGGCCGTGGGAAGATGCAGAGGCAGGTACGGGGCTGTGGCAGGTCCCTTCCTTTCCCGTAAACACCCAGGGAAGCCATGTCCCGGCTGCACAGGGTGCTCTGCGAGTGACACCCCACTGCCAGGGGGTCTCCCCCAGGGACCCGGGCACCGACCCCCCTCGGGAGCTCCCCCCTGCCCTTCACACGGTGCAGACACCGATGCTGATATTTAAAGGAAAGCCTGCGTCCCGCTTCCCCCAGCCCAGACCGTGCCAGCAGCACAGCCCCCAAACCACATTTTCCTGCGTGACTCTCCGGCTCCGGGTTATCTTTTCCCTGCAACTGCCAAAGCGCACAAGAAAAACGACCGAGCAACGTGCAGATGGGCTGAGATGTCCCTGCAAAGGGGGATAACGGCTTCTCTCCATCACAGCCCGAGCCATCAGCGGTGGCATCTCCCGGCACCCAGAGCCACCAGTCTCAACGGCAGCTGTGGGGCAAAGCTGCCCAAGAGCTGTGACTTCTCTCTGCCACAAAACGAGCCCGCATTTCACAAAACTTATTTGTACAGCAGTTTATCGGAGTGCTTCCTTCCCATTTTTATGTAAAGCAAAAGAAGAGAAATCCAGCTGAGACAAAAGGCTTGGCTGAGGTGTGCGCTTCTATTCCCAGGAGACTTTGCCCAAACTCTCGACAAGTTCTCCACCCTCCCACAACCGTCTCCGTTACTCAGCATTTCCCCCAGCAGGTTTCTAGCAGTTCCACCCCCATCGGTACCAACACTCCTCCCAAAGCCCCCGCTGCCCAGCCCCAGCCACCACGGCACGGGGAGGGGAAGGCAGAGCGACCCCCTGCCCAGCGCCACACAGCCAAAATCATTATGGAATGGCCAACTCAGCATTATGGGATGGCCATCAGTTTCCACAGCCTGATCACACCCACACACCACAGCCTAGGAATGGGCACAAAACACCCCAGAGAGGTGAGCTGGAGGAAGGGCAGATGGAGAACAGGGCCATTTTCTTACACTGTTTCCCTACAGATCAACACATCTCGGAGGGCAGGGACACAAGAACAAACAGCCCCACTGAAGGTGGGGTGCAGGCAGCAGCCGGGGTGCTCTGCAGGAGCAGCAGACGGTGCAGAGATGACCTGGGGAGGCACCGATGGCCACGGGACCCTGCCACAGACCTGGTGGGACCTCTCTGCATGAGCTGCAAGGTGCCAAAGGTGGCTGTAAGCATCACTGCCCGGGCAGAGGGTTCTTGGCAGCAGAAGAAAGGAGTCCATGGAGAGCCATGGGATGCTCCTGCAGGTGACATGCCCATGGAAGCCCACCACAAGCCCCCAGGAGGTCCCCTCACTGCTTAGCACCCACAGGGCTCACGAGAGGCTTAGCCAGCACCCAGCAGCACCCACCCACCCACTGAAGCTGTGCCAGGTTTCCCCACGGGCATGGGGGGAAGAAGGCCCTTCCCAACTTCCCTGTGCTGCCGTTGGCGTGGGGCAGCAGGAATGGCTCTGGCAGAGGGGCACCGGGACACAGCACCACGGCACTTCCTCCTCCCAAGCCCCAGAGGGGAGAAAAGCTCCTTGCGCGGCACCGCAAAAGCTGAGGGGGGGGACAGGGAGGGAAGGCACCCACCAGCCGTAGCCGCCGAAGGAGACACTGCGCTTTCTCTGGAACATGGTGGCGGCGCGGTGCTGCCGGGACGCTGCGGCCATGGGGGGAGATGGGCACGGAGCACCCACCGCGGCGGGCGCTGCCTGACGGCGTGCAGGGCGCTGTGCCGGGGCGGGGGACGTGGGGCCCTGGTCAGCTGTCCCCAGCCCAGAAGCGCATGCACAGAGGAGCACACACACCCCCCCAACAAGAAAAGTCATTTCCTTTTTTTTTTTTTTTTTTGTGGCCTCAGGCTTTTCACAACCCTACGCTGCAAATATCGTATTTCTCCTAATGGCAGGAGCCGTGGGCAGCGCCACACGGGCAGCATGCGGGTTGGGGACACACCACAGGCACGGTGTCACCCACGAGCATCGTGCCATGGGGCTGTCCCCATCCCACCTGCCAGCCCAGTGCAGAGGGTCACTGGGGGCAACGTGGAGGTCTCCCTCCCATAGTGGCTGTTGCCGAAACGGCAGGGGTGCACTCACCGCACCAGGGACCCTCCAACTGACCCCCAGTGCACTTCAGGGAACACCCCGCTTAAAACCTCAGTAACCAAAATCCCATCACCTCATCTCTCACGGCAAAGCCATCCCCAGCTGCCCCAGAGCCTGGTGAGGTGTCTCCCCCCCAGCCCCCACGCAGCTGCGGCACACGGGGCTTCTCTCCTCTGGTTCCTCTTCACAGAGCTGCTGCTGAAGTGTGCAGCTGCAGCCTGACCACCACAAAAAAACCCACGGTCATTTAATAACCAGGCTTCAGAAATCCCATTTAAATGGAAATGCTGACCTCTAGCTGGGTATGAGCTTCCATCAGTCACAAAATCCCAAGAAAACAGGCTATCATCCCCACACCAGCCTTCCGGCATTGCTGGGCAGAGCAGAGCCCATGGGGAGGCGAGCCCAGTGCCAGGGGCTGGACATGGTGACCCCCCAGGCTGCCCACCCTCACCCGCCCCCCCCAAAACAGCCACCAGCGCCTGTCTGGGCTGCAACAGGGGCTCACCCTCTGTAGGGCAAAGTCCTAAGGGAGGGTGTGATCCCGAGCACCCCCGGGCAGTGAGGGCGATGTAAAATAATGCCCAGCACACGCAGAAAACACCCCCCTTGACTCGGTGCCGCTGAGCAGTGCCTGGCTCACCCAGCTCTCAGCCCAGCACTTGGCACTTC